TCTGTTTGAAGTTCAAATTCAGAAATAAAACAAGAGTCAAAACTGAAAGTATGTTTCTATATAGCAAATTAATGGACTTAACCAGGAAAAGCTGTGTTCAGCTCTAAAGCTTGTCACATAAAAGGAATTTTAACCTCTTTTGGGTTTCTTTTCTTTAGGTTTTCTTTCTTTTTTGACCCCCCAAAGGCCATTTTTCCAACATTTCAGAACTAGAGAACGTGTGTACCTTGATAGTTATGTGTGAAAATTTTTAATAGGCACTTTGTGGGGTTGAGTGGAGTCCTATTGAAGTGAACATAGAGCCTGGCCTAGGCCTTAAATACACAATTACAATAATTTAAGCTTCTAAGTCAAAATCCATATAAAGCAAATAAAAATTACTGCTGAGCCTTTGAATTTCAGCCTCCACTCTGTGTGTATTAGTGGAAGGAAAATTACATTTGAAGTGGTCAGCATGCAGATGTTGGCCAGGAATTTTGATTTTTCTTGTAGAATCTGAGTCTTCTCTCTCTGATCAGCTTAAAGTCAGCCTGCACTTATCACATGCTCACTTTTCAGTCGTGCCCCAAAATGCCCAGGGGGGGCACATCCTTCAATCCACACACGTGTCCAAGGGGATTGGAGCTGGAGCAGAGCCTTGGCAGTGTCGGGTGCCCATTGAGAGCCACGTCCCAGCCCATGTGTGACTGCCCATCCCAAAGGCTCCAGTTCTCATGGCCTCAGAGGGCAATGGGGGACACGAGAGATTTATGAGCTGTGTGCAGGGGGGCTGGTGAGGTGGGAGGTGGCACCTGTGTGGTTGAGCATCCTTGTGCTGCAGCTCTTCAGGAACTTGAACCCTGCTTGCTTGGCCACAGCTTTTCCGAGCAGGTTACCATCTTAATGGACCACCAGGCTGCTAATTTGAATTATGGAGGAGGCTCGTGATCTTTGGTGCATTAAACAACCCACCCAACATTGTGCAGGGAGTGGTCTGCTGTGCCCAATATAAAAGTGCAAGTGATTCCATGGAAAACATAGGTCATCCTTAGGTTTTAGCTCACTTTGAGGGAAATGGGTCTGATCCACTCTGGCTTTACTGCTCCTTCATGGTTATGCATTTCCATTAAAATACCTGGAGTTTTAGGCTACTATCTGCTGGTAATCTAAAAAATACTGACATTCCTAGTTATTTAATGAATCTTTAATGGAGCTTTTAGTGTGTGTGAGGGTTTGCATATTGATTTGTGTATGCATATTTAGGTGTAAGGGAAGGGAGTAAGGCTGTTGAGAGACTTCTGCAAGATTTAGAGAGTGAAACGTGTTGTTACAAATTATAATAAGGTGTAAAGGTTTTTCACTCCTTAAAACGGGGAAGCTGACATATTAAATTGCATGTGCTCTAGTGATGTGGACTGACTCAGAGAACTTGAAGGAAATAACAGCTGTGCATATCAAAGCTTAAAAATAGAAACTTCATCAGTCAGTGGCAGTTTAGAATGAATGAAGAAATCAAAAAATTATTAATTAGAGTGTTTAGAGAAAGATAAATTTCAAAGTTTCTGAAGGCAGAATGCTGTCATCACTGTTGCAGCAGGTCTGTGCAGGGTAGCAGCACCTTGTCCTGCTGAGCCACTCTGTTAAAGGGGGGCTCTTGTCCAAAGGCACCTGTGGCCATTTCAGACACCCCAAAATGACTCAGGTTTTCCTACCTGACTGGCAGCTATGACAGAGGGCATATGGGAGACTCCTGCCCTTCTGGAGTGGCAGCTGCATGCCCTGAGGCATCTCACATGGCAGTAGATGCTTCAGTCTAAGGAGAGATTGCACATAAACATAAGAACAGACTCACTTTCTCTCACATTTTTAATACAGTCACCTGAAGTGGTTTCATAGCAGTGTTTACAGTGGGTTATTGTAGAAAGTAATGATCAGTTTATCTAATTTTAAACTTAGTAAGAATTCTGAGATGAATAGAAGGTGTACAGCTTAAGATCTGACCAGATATAAAATTAAAAACTATCCTAACATCAAAAATTTTAGTTCTATGATTTAAAGTTGCAGTGGATGGTTGTTTTCCTAATGACCTCAAATCCATGAACTCATTCTAACATTTTCCTTTTAATATATTCATAGTTAAATATAACTTGAATGTTGTCCTAATTACATTCTCATGTTAATTTAGCTCTGATTCAGAATTTCTATCATTATTCTTTGTAGAATTATTTTGAAATGATGGAAAGTTCAGAGAAGATGCTCCATTCTGTGATTATGCCTTTGAATTATTTATCAAATTCAAAGACAGAAATATAGCTAAAATCTAGTTTGAGTTGTAAATGAGTTTTGGTAATGTGAGGAGGAAGTGCAAGTCCTTTTTGCAGAATGCCATGGGTGCTGCAGGAGCCCTGGTGGTCCCACATGAGCAGAGAGGTTCGTGGTTAATAAGAAACCTCCACTGCACCCACTGGCAAATGCTATCTAAGCAGGTGAGACAGATGATGTGTGGAAGAGGAGAGAGAGAGAGACAGATTCAGAGAACTTGTGAAATGACCGTGCAGATTAGTGACAAAATTAAGAGAAAACCTGTCCTGTCTTGGACAGAACCAGCCCTCACTCCCTCTGTGATGTGCCATGGAAACAAAAGCTTTCCCAAGAACTGCTTAACTCATGTTTTCCACAACCCATTGCAGTGGAAAATAATACAGTGCTAACATCAGATTGTAGAAACCATCATTAATGCAAAAATTGTGGCTGTGGCCCTGAGCTAGGTACAGAACAAACAATTGCTGGTGAGGTGTGTGCGAGTCTGAGAGGGCGAGACGCTGCTGGGGAAAATGCGAGAGGAGAAGAGGAAACTTGTCTTAATGTAAGCAGCAGTTTTGCTAGAGGTAAGTGAGGGGAAATTCTTCATTTATAAATGGTTCATTGAGCCATGATAATAAAGCAGTGCTGCAGAAGAAGGATAATTATCTACTTAAGTATCAGATGCCCTAAGGGTACAAGCTTCCCTTCTCTCCTTTTGAGAAATGAACTCAGATTAAACGAATGTCCTTTTTCCTGTTTTAGTGTTGACATGGATTTCCTTTTTATGAGAAAAATTAATTAGTTTTTCTATTTCTTTATTCCTGGTATGGAAATCAGGTCTGCCAATCAACTTTGCAGCTCTTCCCTTGGGTCCCGAGTTTAGCCAATGGCATCCTTTATGGATGTGCTCTGCACAATGCACTGGGAAGGCACAAATTAATTATAAGGGGTTCACTATGCCCAGCGATTTACCAAGGGACACAGCACTGCAGAACTAAAACCCCACAAAACCAGGGGTTTTGTCCCTATCCAGGATTGTTTTGTTTCCAAGTACCTGCTTTCTACATATATTTTTGTCCTTTCTTAAATTTTAATACCATAAGTTGTAACAAGCGAAAAGGAGAATAGTGGTGGCATAGCTGATTCTGTACCAAAAAACCCTGTCTGAGAGACAGATTTTCAAAGCAGATTAACACCCACGGCTGGGACCAGTCTTCTCCTGTTCTTTTGGGAGCTGCTACAGGTAGAGCTTGCTCAGTTCTGCTCCCACTTCAGCAAATATCCATTACAGACTTGTCTGTTCTCATCTGGATTTTGAAAAGTGATCAAAACCTGCCACTACATCTTTACTTCGAGAAAATGTCTGGTTTTCTCTCCTATCAGAATGATAAGTGTGATTCTTATAATATAACCTTGGTGTATGTAAACATGTTGTCTCTGTGCTTATGGAAATAATTGATCTCTCACATGTATTAATCTCTCCTTATTTCAAATGCCTCACGTGGTTCTCAACAATCAGGTTGATGTAACCTTTTTGTGAACCTGTTAACTGCAGAGCAGCTCCTAGTTACCTTTCCTGGATTATAGAGAATATTTCTGAATACCTGCAGGCTTCAAGATGCAGTAAAAATAAAGATGACTGTAATACAATGGCATGGAACTTAATTTTCTTCAAATAGTCCTTTGAACACATGTTTTAATACTGGAAAAAAATAATTTTCGTAGCCTTTGGTCATGAAAGTTCAAGTGGTGTTAAAGGTTACTTTAAGGTCTTCATTCTGCAAATTCTATTCTGTAAGTCAGCAAAGAATCCTGTCTGCAGGGAATTGAAATGAGAATTAAGTACTTACTTGTTGGATCTACACAACTGAGGCTCTGCTAAGAATTCTGGACCATATTCATAATGTTACATAATTGACTTTCAAGTGAGGAATCATAGCAATTATTAATTACTGTGAACACAGCAGATCAGATGACTGTGAGTAGTGTCTGTGTACTTCCATTATTTACTTTATAGCTTCATTTCACTGACTCTCAAATCACAGTCACCAAGGTAGAATTAAATCAAAATGTATTTACAGAGTTGTGAACACTGTGCTTAAAAGGAAATAGTCTTAATTATCTTAATGTATTTTTAAAAACACATTATAGTTACAACAGGTGAGCATTAACTTGTCAATTGTAATTAATGTATAGAAATAAGTGATCTGCTATGATCAACATAGTGCGAGTTTGTCATGTATTCAGGTGCCTAAAATTAGAGGTGTAAGATCAAGATTTTCAAAAATACATATCCTATTTGGGGAAAAGCATTGTAAAACTGCTGTCTGAGACAACACATCCAGAGCCCTCTTAAATTTCTTTAATCACAAAAGAAAATGTCTCTTACTTTCACAGGATATAAATACCAGCATTTCTCCCTTGAGATGGTAAATTTCAGTCTGTGAAAAATTTGCTTTTCCTTAAATGTCTCAGTATAGAGTATAGCTCAAGAGCCTAAGTCGCTTTGCCCATATCTGAGGGATTTGAGGAAAATAATTTTGAGCAGAGCCTCATACAATGCCTTGTAATCAGCCCTATGTTTTTGATGCTCTTGCTCACCAGAGAGGAGGAGCTCAGGCGATTCAAGGGTGATCAGAACCAGGTTACAGGCTGGGGGTTGGGGCTGTTCTGGGCCACTCAGGTTTGTGTTTGTGCCTTGACACTGCCACCTGCAGATGTCCTTGTGTGTCCTCTGCGGCCGGTGGAGCGTTTCCGTGACCTGTGTCCCGAGGAAGTGGCTGATTTGTTCCGCACGGCACAAAGGGTTGGAAATGTGGTGGAGAAACATTTCCACGGCACCTCGCTCACCTTTTCCATCCAGGTTTGTAAACCAGTCAACCAAGAAAGGTTTAATGGTTTGTTTTATCAAGCTTTCAGCTTTTTTTCCCTTGTCCAATCACTAAAGGACATTGGAGCTTCAAGGGGCAATAAATGCAAAATAACAGTAATAAAAAACAAGAAGCCAAATAACTGCATTGCAGTCTTCCAGATTTGCCATTGAAAAAACCTAAAAAGGAAACCAGCGGGAAAGTGTGGTTAATTAATAACTGCAAAACCTGGGGTAAAGCCAGCAAACACCCTCAAATGCTGTGCTTGTTTGTGAGTATTTCAGGATATATTCTTCCTTCAAACAAGTGCTTGCAGGGTTGACCTCTAGAGAAGGCAGCCACATCCCCTGCTCCACACACAACCCACTGCATATGCCTTAGATCGGTGATCCCTCCTCACAGCTATTTATATGCAGGCAGAGAGCTGTAGCCATGTAAATACATTATAAATTCTGACCTTTCAGTTGTTTGTGCTGGGTGTTTTTACACGAAAAATGAACTCTGTTTAAAGCAAACCAGGAGACTAAGCCCGTTCATTAGAATAAGAATTTAAGTAAGCGTACTTTGATTAAATTCTTACTTCCACGTGTGATTTTATGTTCACAAGGATCAGAAATCTATTGCTCACTATTGAAAAATAGAACCTGAAAAAACGAAAAATAGAAACTGTTGTTTTTGTGATGTGAGATATCACATCCGGGGTCTGATATGGAAAGGAGTTTTGTCCAAAAACTTAGTATTGAATGGTCCTCGGGAAAAATATGCTAATTTCACAGACAGTGTAATTGATATCAATGATGATTGAGTAAGATTTTTGAATTCCTGTGTGATCCTTTTTAGATCCTCTAACCTGAGACTTTTCCCTTTGCTTACAGGATGGCCCTGAAGCTGGACAAACAGTGAAGGTGAGTGCTTAGTATGCAGAATACAAATTAAGACACAATTATAAGAACTAATAAAAGATCAAAGCTCATCATCTGCAGTCCATTGCTATATTGTTACTTTATCCTTGAGATCAAAAAATCCCAAGTGTACAATAGCAGTAAATACTTTTTATTGAAATTACACAAGATAATGTTTACAGGTTTTTCTCTTAGACAAAAATTTTCAATCACGAAAACATCTTTTCTAAGCTGCTGGGTGTATTTATGCAAGGAAAGTCTCATGAAAAAAGCATCTGGTTTAGTTTTTTTGTTTGTTTTATGGAGAAAATATTGCCCTTACATTCATGATCTCTTTGTTTTTCTGTTTATTGCCTAATGAGTTGTAGCTAATTATAGGAACAGTTAAACTGAACCACATTATGAAAATATACCTTTGTCTATGCTTTCTCTCAACATATTCATATCACATTCTTGTTCCTGAAGTTCAAATGTAATGGGCCCAGTGAAGCTAAAAACCAGATTTTAAGTGTACTTCCAAAAAAAAGTGGGAGGGTGGAAGGGAAGAGAAGGATTTATTATTATATTCTCCACTTGAGTAATAACACAGATAACATCCAAGATGTCTCTCCAGCCGTGTTTCACTGCCTTGCAATGCAAATGCAATTGCGTGTGTAGTTAGATGATATGCCTCAACATTAGATAAAGGCTATTTTTTATGTTTGGAATCAGAGGAAAGTCAAATATGGCTACGGGTTAGCACTTTGTAAAATTAAATTAGATGTCTCAGAGAACCTGTTTGAGTTGATTAAGATAACTAACAACCAAATGACGGTGGATAGGAACATTTTACTTTTTTTCCAATTTGCTGTATTGACCTTATTTTTACTTCTCCCTTTTGCTTCCTGCTTTGAATATTCAACAGAGAGGTAATAGGGAGAGAGAAGAAGAAATTAGAATATCACCAAGCTTGAGATGTGATGAAAGAATGTAAGGTGATTTCTGTACTGTGACAAAACAGATTTCTTGACTCATGACTTAGAGTGCATTCAGTGTGTTTCACTGGCAGTGTCTGTTGATAGGTGAAATAATAAGTTTAAACACTTTCAAAGTAGATTTTGTTATTATCACCAATATGATTTACAAAGAAAATCTGAGGATTTATTTTAATATCTTGGACAAGTGTTTTTCTCTCTGTAAAGAAAAGATGTATAGGAATGGTTATAGGTGAGAAGAATTATTTAAATGAATGAGCAAAGGCAGATGTAAAAATTCCCATCTTCTGTGATTGTGAACAGTAACAAATGCTTATGTAGGCCTTAAAAAGGAAGGAAGTTCTGTATTACTTTGTGTTTGTACTGGAAACAAAGAGCATTAAGTGTTTATTGCAAAATGACAGCCACCCTTCATTCCTCCTTCTCACACTTTTAATAAACCCTGAGATGAAAATGACCCATTCTCACAACTGTGAACCCCTAGACTTTGCAATAATGAGTGTGTATTCATAAATCAGAGGTTATCAGTTTACATTTCTCTACTTTTCTGCATCATTGGGCAACACTGTAATTTATCATCTCTTTGGGATGTTTATCATCCAAAAATGCCAGTAACTATTTTCTTCACAGAATTTAGAGCTTTCAAAACTTCAGTCATGAAAGAAATTACTGTGATCAAGATTTTCTTTTAAGTGAACAATAGGGTGGATACATAAATAGCTGGTGTCATTTAAACTGTTTTGAATCACAAAGTTTGAAAAAACACCTATGTGACCTACGAATAATTTATGAACCTTAAGTTCAATGTGTCGTGTTTCTCAATATGGATTTATTTGTTTGTTGTTTTTTTTCATGTATGAGAATCCACAATAATCCAGTCTCCTCTGAGGGAGCTTTTAATTAAAATTTCTGGAACAGACCAAACATTAGAAAAACATTCTAAAAGTAAAAATAGCAAAACATTGCAATAAATATCCAAGGGAGTTTGTGGAGACTGTTTAAGTAGGATGGGCAAGCGTATCTCAGGAGCTAATTAGGTGTAGCTGAATTTGCTTTGAATGGGGTCACATACCAGCTGGTTTCATGAGTCCTTTGCCTTTGTATTTTGTATAATTCTGTATACCTGTGTAAATATAGGCTACTGTATGTGCTATGGAGGAACAGAAATACAGGAAGCAGGAGAAGAGTATTGACTTTTCAATTGCTCAGTACAAAATTTTACTACAAAATGGGAAGTGCTATCAGCCTAGCTGAAGATAAAAACTGAGAAATTTAATCTGAAAAAGATTGAGGAATCTGTCTTTGTCCACAAGAAGAAATGGTAATCCATGTACAAGAAGAATCTTGAAACTGAATATGAGTCTCAGGTCTTTCTTTGCAACGGAGATGCTGAAAATTATATGTGCAACATCTGCAACAGGTTGAAAGGAGATGACCCTTTGTGATTTTGGCTAGAAATCAGTGATAAGACCTGCCAGTGTTACATGTCCCTTTTGGTGATGTGAAAGCTGCTGGTGTAAGCATTTTGGGTTAAAGCCTTTCCAGTTCCTATTGGGAAGCTGTTTGTGATCTAATTGTGTCTCATTATTGCTGTACTCTGTTCTTCCTTTGCATCTAAGGTAGCAGAGCCTGCAGGTCAATGTTCTAGGGAAGCTTATGGCCCTTTCAAATTCCCCCTTTACTGTGTGTGTTTTCACTGCATGGGTCTTTGGAAGTAATTATACCTGGCTCTCAGCTCACCAATATTTGTAAGTATAGATTGGTCTTTTCTCACCCTTCAGCTGCTGGAAATGTACACATGGTAAGGGATTCTGAACCATGTCCCAAGTCTCAGGCCATAAAATAATGCAATATATCGGTTCATAATATTTTTTGTAGCTTTCTACCTATTGTACCTATTGCAGCCGTGTCACCTATTTATGAGAGAAACAGATTTGCTTCTCCAAGGATGGTCACAGAATTGCACACTGTTTTGTTATGAGAGGTTCTTGAAGCACTCACAACAGAGAACTTGAGCAGTGTGTCAGCAAGCAAAACCATCTTTTAGCATTCAAGAGACTTTGAATATTTATTTCTTATTATTTGAGAAAGGAGGGAAATTGTGTTTAGGTCCTCCCTTAAAGACTACTAATCTCTGCAATTTTGAGCTCTCTTTTTATTGGAGAACACAAAACCCATGGTGTCCTTGTGCTGGGAATGGAGGGTGAGTTTCATGCTGGTTCTCTTTGAGAATGCCTTAAATATCCAGGCAATTTCATGGATCACAGAAATCAGCTCTGCATCTTAATGCAGGGCTCTTATTGCTATGTCAAGTGAGAGACGTTTCAAGATTTCCCTAGAATGTTTTATAGCCTTCTTTTCATCATCAAGTCAGCAAATTCTCTGGCTGCCTGGGTGGATGTATAGCTTAGTGTAGAATAAGCTCTCAGGTTTACCTTTTACGTGAGATTCAATCACAAGAAACTCCATGGATTCTGTACTCTGTAAAGGCTAAACAAATCAAGCTGGCAGGAGCATGAGGCAACTAATTTATCTGTAGAGACAAGATAATATTGCACAGCAAGTGTCCATTGCACAAACATGTATGAACACATCCTCTATTTTGCAGCAGTGTTGAAGTCTCCAGCAGCTCAGCACCTCCTCTGTTATCCATGAGAAAGGGCCTGTTTGCCAATTGCAGGTTCCCCTAAATAAATGAGAAAGCAAAGCTGATGGTGGCAGTGTGGGTATGTGTGCAGAAACCTATTTTATATGTCACACATTCCACTGATTATTTTACACTGAGAAGATTGTCTCATGATTATTTTTGATGTACGTATTTTTCTTTTCCAGATGTTTTTTAATGCTGTGTTAAATCAATCCACCTGGCTTGCATTCCTCAAAAATCTTTACCTGATCTGTGGAGCCTAGGGCTCATTTAAGCCCACAGCACACTTCTCTTTCATCCTCTGTGTATTTATGTTTTGACCCAAAGTATTGGACCTGAGGTTCGAGTCTTAAAATTTAATCAGATCACATTGCAGACTAATTGCATTGGAAGGATTAAATTCACTAACTGCAATACTTTTGATGCCTCAGCCTCTTTCCCTGCAGACCAACAGATGTGAGTCCTGGTTTAGTGGAGTACTAGAAACCCTTTTTTGCTCTCTTGGAAGAACCAAAAAAAAACAGTGTTTGAGAAATGTGAAGATTTTTCTTATCTTTAAACAAATCTAAAAATTTGGATGCAAAAACCCTCGGAAGAAACAAATTTTTGAAAACCACATTGTACTGAAATATGTGAACAAATCGTCTCCTCTGCTTTACCCTTAAGAATGATGAATCTCTTGGAAGCTTGTGAGACGTCCCAAAATGATTTGAGGAAGTGCAGCAGTGTCTTTGAATTACTCTGAGAACCACACTAATAATATTTGGTTGGAGACTATGTAATATTGTGGACAGGTAATTGGTACAGCAAATTCCGTAGTCTCGGGGCTGCTACGTCTGTTTTGAGCTCAAAATTTTCTTTCTATTTCAGTACTATATTTAGTTTGGGGTGGTTTGAGGCTAGTGATGTATATTTTCAAAGCTAGGATTATACTGCCCCTTACAGAGACAGAGAAGCAGCAGGATCATCCAGACAGTTTCTCCCCTCTCCCTTAAAGCCTTTTGCCAGCTCTATGGTTTCTAGTCACTTTGAATAATAATCCCTGCCTTCTCCTTCAGGGCTTTTTTCAAAATCTGCCTTGTGTTGGTCTAAATCTCGTTTCACTTCTTTGGCCTGACCTGTGTTTTCTATGATGCAAAGTAAGTCCCAAAAAGTCTTTGCTTTGTCAGGTCCTTACTTCTGTTCATAACGTGTAACATTTAGTTTTTGACTGAACAATAAGATTTCCTGAAAAAACTTATTGCTATTTTGTTTACCAGGCTTATAGATTTAAGAGGCACTGGTAAATCTGTAAACTCTTCCCTAAAACAAATAATAATATAAAAGCCTAGAATGAAAACAGTTCTTTTGGCCCTTGTAATTTGTACAGATCAGTTCCTGTA